GGACTTCAACTCCCAGAATTCCTCAGCCAGCGTGCCTGGCTGAGGAATTCTGGGAGTTGAAGTCCATGAGTCATAAAAGGGCCAAGTTTGAAGACCCCTGCTATAACCCATGGTTTATAAATCCATATGACTGCATTCCCACAAACCTGAAGTCCAGAGCAAATAATATATGTTGTGGTGGCTTAATTGGATGTGCCAGCTGTGTCTAGCAATGGAATCAGGATATGGCTGATGGGTTGTGTCAATCAGGTCCAAAAGATGAGTCAAGGCAGGGCTCCAAGCCAGAGAAGCAACAAGCAAAGAGGAAAGCCAGTCAGAAGCTCTTTGGCAGAAAAATCAGCAGGAAACAGGACCAGGGAGAGCTCCATGGGAATCCTGCTGGCTGAATTTTCCTTCTCTAAGAGAGAGGATGGATGGATGGATGGATGGATGTTATTTCTGAAGCAGATGGAGCACAGGTGCCCACAGCTACACTGAGGGCAGGAGTCAGCAACTTTATGCTGGCTCAGGAATTCTGGGAGTTGAAGTCCACAGGTCGTAAAGTTGCCCTACTTGCCCACTTCTGACTTAAGGTCAACCAGCTCTCTGTTGCACTTGGTTCTTATTCATTTTGGAGTCTTCTAGGTGAATGGAATTAAACTTGGAAACTACAGTGCCACCAAGATTTGCATCCAGCATCTTAGCAACAAGAATGCCTCACAAAATTTTATCAATGGATAGCAATACGATCCAGCAAGAAAGGATTGTGAAATTTATTAGGATGAAGGATATTTACTGATTAATCATTACTTTCATGATTACTGTTATTCCTAGTGATTATAGCTATTTACCATTACATTAACTATTGTTATTTAATATTTGTACCCGGACGATAGTCTGCTTGCTAAAGCGTAGAATTATTGTTGGGGGCAACTCCCATTACTCTAACCCTATTCCTGTACCCTACCTAATACCTATACCGATCTCATTCCTTCCTTATCCTTGTAAAACCTAATAAAATATTTTTTAAAAAATGCCTCACATAAACCCAGTGTAAATTTGTATCTTTACAGAGCCCGTATCAAATTTATCCCTTAATGAAGGTTTGATCCCGTAAGTGTGAGAATCGGTCATACATCGCTTTTTACATGCCACTGTAACTTTGAACAGTTACTATGAATGGTTGTAAGTCAAGGACTACTTGTACAAGAATTAGCCCATAAACTATTTCAACCGAGGCAAGAACCAATTCCTACTTTCACATACACACAATAAACTTTGACTTTGTTGAACCACGATTTATCAAACAGGCCATAATGTCCTATGGACTATTGTGAAAGACGGAGATTTGGGCAATGCCCAAGTAGAAGACCTCCATCATTTTATGCATGAATGAAAAATTTCCTCGGAATCATTCTGATGTCCCTCTGGCTTTCCTATCCACCTCCAGTGCGACCATTTATCATCATCTGAACTATCTGATCAGGGACTTGGATATAATGCAGTTAGGGTTATCATTTTAAGGGCATTTAGATGAAATTTAAAGCCAGCCTTGCACTAATTTGGTTGTCAAGGAATTGATTTTGATCCTTAGCACTTTCTCATTTTCAATAGAGTACTGCTCTAACCAGGTTAATTTCTGTTAAGCACATTAGTCAGGTACTTCTAGCTCCCCAATCAAATGATTAAATGTCTCTGGGCTTTGGACAATTATAACTAGGGTTACCACTAGATGGGAGCAAAAACTTGGAGGTTTCTGAATCTCTCTGCTGTTCTCTGATGGGCATCCAGATTTTTGCAACTCTAGCCAGTTGCTCTAATCTTAGCAGTATTGCACCCACCCGACAGCATGAAACCCAACTACTGTATAGGTAGTCCTCAACTTATGACCACAATTGGGCCCAAAATTTCTGTTGCTAAGCAAGACAGTTGTTTTGCCCCATTTTACAACCTTTCTCGCCATAATTCTTAAATGAATCACTGCAGTTATTAAGTTAGTAACAGGATTGTTAAGTGAGTTTGGCTTCCCCTTTGACTTTGCTTGTCAGAAGGTTGCAAAAGGTGATCACACACAACCTTGGGACACTGCAACTGTCATAAATGCATGCCAGTTGCCAAGAGTCCAAATTTTGATCATGTGAATGGGGATGCTGCAATGGTCCTAGGTGTGAAAAATGGTTATAAGTCTGTGTTTTTTTCAGTGTTGTTGTAACCTCAAATGGTCACTAAAACAAATGGTTGTAAATTGAGGATTTCATATAATAAAAATTAAAAGCCAGGCCATCGTTTGCAAAGATATTGATTCTGCAAATGCCAACAATTCTATTCCTATTCAACATTTGAAAGTGCTATAAGTTTTATTTTCCCTTTTTTCTGTCTTTTAATTTAGTAGGTCCTAGATGAAGAGTCAAAGTGGGGGTTCACTTCATTATGCTAGGCATGGTTCCATTTAACTAAAATATATTGCTCAAGTCAAATGGCAGGTTTTATGTATTGCACCAAGCTATAAATCATGTCTTATCAATTACCATGGTTGAATTCATACAACGTAGCTAAGACAAAATCCAAAACACTATCCTAACGCAATATTTCCTAACCTCAGCAACTTTATGTGTGGATTTGAATTCCTAGACTTCACCAGCCAACAGGGAATTCTGGGAGTTGAAGTCATCTTGAAACTCCCAAGGTTGAGAAGTGCTGCATTAGACAACAACTAATGTTGTGGAAGGTATTTTATCTTGGGCACAAGGAAGCCAGCAGCTGATTCACAATACATGACAGGAATGTATTTAAATAATTAAGTTAATTATCAGTGGTTGATAGCAACCAGTAGAGGGCAGTAGAAGACAAACTACTGTACAGTATTTTATTCCCCCCCCCCCCCTAGGTACTGTACAAGGAGATTTAATTTGCAGTCAATTTCTCCTTAATGAAAAAAACTACAAATTAGACAGAAATTGCCCAGCCTGGTTGGAAATATAATTTCTAGGCCAACTTTAGATCCACAGGAATGAAAATATTTAATGTGTGAGTGTTAATGTAGCAGGTTTAGCAGCTTATTTCTTAATAGCTTCAAAGCAGTGAACAAACTAACCTGTGTTAATCAGTTTCACCTCTTTTTTAAAAAAAAAATTCAGAATAAAGACAATCTGAAGGCGGGATTGGCCTAAACAACAACTTAGGTGAGGAACACTCCACTATCAAAGTAATTTCTTAAGATAATTTTTATGTAGAAGAAATGGCATAGAATTTAAAATTGAAAGTAAAATTTTATAAACATTGATACAAGAATGTATCTTAATATATTTTTCTAAATGTCAGCTTTAGCAATTGTTCAAAGTTACAATGTAGCATTCCTACAATTGTGTAATCAAAATTCCAGTGCTTGGCAACTGGCATGTATTTACGATTGTAGTGTCCTGGGGTCATGTGATTGCCATTTGTGACATTGACTGCTGGCTTCTGACAAGCAGAATGAATAGGGGAAACTGGTTTTGCTTAACAACCATGATTCACTTAACAACTGCAGAAATTTGCTTAATGACCATTGCAAAAAAACATAAGATCAGGTGCTATTCACTTAACAATTACTTTACTTAACAATGAAGATTCTGGTCTCAATTGTGGTCATACCCAAAAAATCTTAAAGTGTGTGTGGGGGGGTTGAAAGATAATTATCCCCCCAGCTCATTGCAACCTCTGCATTTAAGAAATGAATAGTCATTTACTTCAGCATTTCCCTCAACCTAACTTCTAATGAAAGTACACAGTCGCCCAAGCATTTTGCTCCAAGATGTGTTCGGTTGGATTTGTAAAGGTGAAGTGGAGGAAAAGAAAAATACAATTTATTTCTGTATTTCAGAGAGAGACATAATGGTGTTTACTTTCATTAGTTCTCCAGATGAATGTTTAGAACTATACTGCCATCGTATGACCAATATAGCTTGGTGCAATGAACATTAAAATTTGAATAAAATATGCCAAGTTTTTGTCAGGAAGTCTGAACGAGATATAGCAAATTCATCCCACAGGACTGAAAGGTACTATTTTGATTTCCACTACTAGAACAATGGACACACTTGTGCTTGACAGGATTAAATATAAAATTCTGTCTTGGAAAACAGGGAGGTATTTTAATAATCGCAGTTCAGGTAAAATGAATTTTTTTGGATTTGGTTCTTAATCTAGTAGAACATTTAACTGAAGAGAAATATTTTTGACTTGGCTAATGAATATTCAAGGTATCAGTTAACCTTCTGAAAGAGAAAAATGGTAAGTGGGTTATATGGTTATATGCATTCTACTAGACCAGGGGTAGGCAACCTTGGCTCTTTTATGACTCGTGGACTTCAACTCCCAGAATTCCTGAGCCAGCTATGCTGGCTCAGGAATTCTGGGAGTTGAAGTCCACGAGTCATAAAAGAGCCAAGGTTTCCTACCCCTGTACTAGACCATGGTTTGTTTCCCAACATAAACCACCTTGAGCTCCTGGAGGAAAGTGAGGAAATAAATCTCATATGCTGGCTGGGGAATTCTGGGAGTTGAAGTCCACCTATCTTAAACTTGCTGAGGTTGAAAAACACCGCATTCAAGAAATTAGCAAATAAAGGAAGTGTGCTTTGTCTTTCTTTTGTCCACCCTGGCTTTAGCTCTCTTTAATGCGCAGCGGAAACCTCCAAATTTTCTTCAGAGCAGAATAAGAGAACTCGCTCCCAAGAGACAAATGTTACCTCAACTTCGTTTGCTTTCCGACGTACCTCCTTCACTTGTTCTCTTTTCTGGGTTGCAATTCCCCGCCTGGCCTCTTAAGCGCTGCAGCTCAATTCTTCCTCCACCACCACCACCACCACCTCTCCCCCAACCACGGCAGCCGTTCGCGCACGCATCTCTATGGTTTCTCCAAACAGAGAGCCTCCTGCTGGAACGTCAACGATTTTTATCCCCCTCGAGGGACTGAGGTCTGTTTTCATTCGCGTCCTCAGTGACATCACGAGGCGGGAGGCGGAAACCGGAAGTGCTCGATATTTACCAAGACGACGAGAAGATGGCGGCTGCTGTGGATATAGGAGCGTCTACGGATGGGACGGTGAGAGATGAGGGTTGCTAGAAGAGTGACAGGAGCTCGTTTTAGGCCTGACCGCTGGACTTAACTGGACTGCAACCGAAAGCTTCAGTCCAGCACACCGCCCGAGGTGCCGCGTTGGGGGAAGGTTGTTTGTATCTCGGGAAGTAAGACATTTGGTTTGGCCGGATTTGCTGCTCTGAATCGGAGGCAGGGATGGGGAACCTGGGCTGAACTACAACTCCCAACATCCTCAGCCAATGTATGTGCGGCCTTGCTGTGAGCTGCAATTCAGCAATGCCTAGAAGACCACTATCTTTGTAGAAAAGAGATCGGTCAGAGCAGAGGGTGGGAAGAGTTAATGGCAGGAAGAGGGATGAGAGAGAGGATCTCATTCTTTCTTGCTTTGTTAATAATATAGGGTGTATAGGTAAATCCTGGAAGTATACGTTTAGAATATTCTACAAATTATCAGAAACTCCATTTCGGTTGAGAAAAGCCTTTTACGTGTAGCCTCATCCCTTCTCCTCTTGCATGTTAAAATATTTTGCTCATTGATTGGGACTCATCAAGTTGTTTTTGAATCCTAGCAACCGCATAGATTTTGTCTATGATTGGTCTGTAATCTGTCCTTTCAAGTCTCCACTTCATCAACCATTGTAACTGGATCTATCCATCTTGCTGCTGGTTGTCCTCTTCCTCTTTTCCCTTTCATATTATTTTTATATATATTCTATAAATATAATACTACACAATCTATAATTATTATTGACATTGTATTGTTGAGAGATAATGATGGAGTGGGTTTTGATAAACCACTCCATCATCCTTCATCCCTTTATTTTAATTGTAATGGGGAGAGATAGTTTACTATGAAAGTTTTTTTTTCTCTTCTGATAGTTAAAGCTCAAGACAATAATTATACTTCAAAAGCCTCTGTCTTGAACTTTTTGATCTCTTAGAAAATACAGAATTAGATGTTATCAGTTCCTGAGTGACAAAATTAGACACATCTTGGTAATGGTTTTAGACCAGTACAAATAAGACAATAACAGCAGTGAAAATAATAAAAAATAATTGATCCCATTTATTCACTAAGTCAGATCCCAAAAATGTCAGGCTCATATGCCAACCATGGGCTAAAATGTAAGAAGCAGTAGAACCAATCCATAACTAGTGAGCTCTGTCAATTAAAAGATAATGTAGCTAAAATCAGTATGGTAACAAAAGAGAGCAAGTATAACATGTGTTTAACTAATGCTTCATTTAGTATGTGATCCTGATTGTGAAGCTGCTTTTTATATGTAGTGTGTTGTATAACCACTTATCTCAATCCCAGATTTATTTTCTTTTACATACATGTGGGGGACATTCCAGATGGTTTCCAACACTTCAGACAGTCCAGTGATAGCTGAAGAAGCTGCTGACCAAAAGAGAGAAGAACGGCTTAGAAAATTCCGAGAGCTTCATTTGAAAAGGGTAAGGTCACTTTGTGACTTTTGGATTCAAGTCCCAGAATAGTAAATCTGTTGGGTCATATCCTTGTGAGACCCAATTATACTATAGAGCACAGTGTACAAAATTTATGGGGCAACAATTCAGCATGCAAGATAGAAAATGGATTGAAGAGAGTAAGGGAAAAAAAAATAAGTTGGTTGTTGTTCAGAATATAAAATTTGTAATAGTTTTTTTATTTTAATTCTGTTTGCTGCCCAGAGTTACTTGTTGAGGTATATAAATGGGATAAATAATTAAATAAAATATGAAATAAATAGATCTGTATTTGGTGCAATCTTAGCGCTGGGAATAGGACTCAGCCATGGAAACTGATCTTCTGAGATGCTACATACCTGCATCTTTTCACGATTGCTGAAAGTGAAAATAATAGGCTGACTTTATATTTTGGGAAGTGCGTTGTCAGTATCTTGACCAATTAGGGGGATCCTTGGAATCACTAGCCATAAATGAATGTTTTTATGTTACCAAAGCTGAGGAGTGATGTTACAGGTAGTCCCTGGTTGAAGAAAGAGATCCTAAATTCATCTTGCGTATGTAAGTCAGAACTTGTACTTACAAACCAACTGCTTATTCCTAAAAATGGCAGATGGCATTATCCTTCCTGGAGCCAATGAATCACTAAAACTGCACTTTCAGGAACCACTGTAAACAGGCTGTATATTAAAAACACACAACTTTAGCAATTCATCAGCTCAAGGAGAACTTCATTCACCATTTTTAGTAATAGGCAGCCTTTTCTTATCTGAGGGTTGTCCTTAAATCATGATGTTCTTTGCCTGGGTAATGCTTGTTGTATTAGGTTAAAATAATTGACAGTAAGAGCCAGAACAATTACTATTATGCAGTAACAGTCCATCAGTAAGCAAATTAAGAAGCCTCTGGTGCAGGATCTGTTTTTCATTTTTTATCCGCATTGCCATGAGAATTTAGCATTCACTGGCAGAGTATTTCTTATTATTGGTAAAGTTTGTTGCTTTGTTAATTTTGTTGCTGCTTATCCCTGATTTGTTGCTATTTGCTAATGTATCAATCACTGATACATGGGAGATGTTATCTATTTTTAAAAGAATGAAGCCCGCAAGTTAAATCATCAGGAAGTTGTGGAAGAAGATAAAAGGCTGAAGTTACCAACCAATTGGGAGGCAAAAAAGGCTCGCTTAGAATGGGAACTGAAAGTGGAAGAAAAAAAAAAGGTAAACAAGCAAATAATATGACATGTACCTTTAAGCCAATTAGAAAACTACATCTCTGGGTTCCATTCTACAAAAGGCCCACAGCTAAAAAAAAAAAAAAGTCCCTATAGTTACTACTTTTTCACTGGGTTATATTAGAAATGATAGATACAGTACTTACACCATTGCTGGAAAATACTGGCATCCAAATATAGTCCTTCTGCATTCGTGTGCAAAACATGTGATATAATTAATAACTTTTAAAATAATTCTATAAAGATATCTTTATGTTTTAAATGGAAGGGCTGATGTAGTTTGTCAAAGACCAGAATTCTGTTATTATTCAAAAAATGAGATTTCATAACCGTTCACCAAACAAGAGTAAAACCACAGCTTACATAAAACTTTTTAAAATTTCTAGTATAATATTAGGATGCATCTGTGATTTCAAGAAAACTGTTTTTCTTTAGTGTCATATGCTTGCATCAGCCTACCCAGTGAGTATTTGGATTAAGCAGGATTTAAGCAAGGGATTTCATAATTCTTTTGTCAGGATCTTCTAGAACACTCTCGGAAGAGGTTGGAATTATTATGGATAGAGATAGACCTATCAAAGAAAAATCAACAGCAGATCACATATAATTCCTTATAAAATTAATTTTATAAAGAAATATAAAATTTTGGAACAGCCCACAGAGGAACATTTTTGAGGATCTGTGTTTTAAATTATTAAAATGAGTTTACTGTGCACTAGGACTGTCTGGTGAAAGGGGAAGATTACGAGAGAGTAAAGCTGCTAGAAATAAGTGCAGAAGATGCAGAACGCTTTGAGAGGAAAAGGAGGAAGAAAAATCCTGATCTTGGGTTTTCAGGTAGGGGGAAATGATCCTTCCTGTTTTCAAATACATGCGGAATAAAAATAAAGTTATATGCAGGGGTTCTTCCTGTAGTACCTGGCCCTGTGGGAAGGGGATCATAAAACATTTTCAAAATTGTTCATGGTTACGCAACCAAAGTAGGAACATTGTCAAAACTCCTGTTTGTCATGGGTGAGTTCAAACTGAGAGCAAAAGTCAGAGGTATTTGTCAATCAAAGCAGCTGTATTTATTATCTATTATTCTTCATCTTTATGTAATTGAAGACTCAATCATCCAGGCCAAAAATATTTAAATAAAGATTAAATCATGGCAACTGGACCAAAGTTTATAAAACGGAGACATTTTATAAGTGAAGTCACTTCTTCAGTCAAAATGAAAAATTTGGGGTTAGGCATAGAGTCAGAGAGTGGTTGGAATGTACTAACTCTGCCATACTGACTGCAGGGGGGGTTCTCCCCAAAATGAAATGCAATATGAAGAGCGTTATTTACATATTGCATTTCATTTTGGGGAGAAACTCCCAGCAGTCAGTCTGGCAGAGTTAGTACATTTATTATTTATTTATTTATTTATTATTTTAATTTATATACATTCCAACGACTCTTTGACTCTATACCTAACCTAACCCAAAAAAATTTCATTTTGACTGAAGACGTTACTTGGATGAGTAACGAAACATCTCAGCTTAATAAACTTTGATCCAGTTGCTATGATTTAACCTTTTTAGATATTCTTCATCTTTGTTCCTGAGAAAGGGGCTACACAAACTTATTTATCATTGCGGAGGGAATCACAGTATTGATGAGATAGGTTGCCCTGTCTGGTAAACGTTTATTGTTCACTAAGCTAATTTCTTTGCTCTATAGACTATGCAGCTGCTCAACTACGCCAGTATCAGCGGTTGACCAGGCAAATTAAACCTGACCTGGAAAAGTATGACAAATTAAGAGGAGAAAGGCAAGTATTTTGTTTCACAGTATTTTTTTTATTGTTACGTAGTAGAAGGGTCTGGAATGAATATTTTCAAATGAGATCATTCTGAATTAGAGTATAGGTAGTCCATGACTTAGGACGGTAATTGAGCCCTCAATTTTGGTCATAAGTTATGATGGTTATAAACCAGGCTACCATGTGATTGTGCACATTGCATTGCGAATGCCACAGTTGTTAAACAAACCCATTGTTTACTACGGGGTGGTTTTTGCTGGAAATTAAAAATGGCAAAAATGTAAACGTCCCATGACCACAGGACCCTGCAAACATCCATAAATGTGGCTGGTTGCCCAAAATGTGGCCATGTAAAGTGTGTATTTGTGTGTATGAGGTTGATGAATCTGGGTGTAAGTAGCTTTTTCAGGATACATTATCATTTTGAACGGACACTAAATGACCAGTCATAAGTCAAGGACTACCTGTAAATAATTTTGCACAGCTGGTGTGAAAGTAGAGAGGAAATGTTCCATCTACCTTGTTCAATTTTGGTTAAAGAGAATGAGAAAAGTGGAAAAGATTATAGATATGGAATCAGAGTAGATTTTTAATCAGCGCTACCGTAAACGGGTCAGATTGTTTGATATTTTTTATCCCAAATTCCTGAGCTAGAGAAATTTCACAAAGACATTACTGTTAACATTTTCTCCTTTCTCTCCTTTAGTGGTGAAGATTTTTTCCCAACTTCAAATAGTTTACTCCATGGAACTCATGTGCCCTCCAAAGAAGGTGTTGATAAAATGGTTACAGATCTTGAAAAACAGTAAGTGCCCATATTCGTAATGAACTGCATGTTTAAATGTATTAAGCAGCTTGTATATGTGTTTGTCATAGACCTCCTGCTGAAGTTTTATTTCAGATTGCATTATTTAAGGACATTCTACGTATAGAGCCCATGTCGTTTTCTTTCCTATTAACTTTTCAAATAATATAATTATCGGGCAAGGCTTTAAATTGCTTTGCCCCTTTTAAATGATTCTAAGTAACCATATTAAGTATAGAACCCAGAGATTGATTTGCTTTGGAGTGGATTAATGAAATGAAGTTTTTTTTATTCCCCTTGACCCCATTAGTTGAATATACAAGAAAGAAAATTCTATTACTGTCTCAAATGAAGAACATCCAATATCTCATTAAAACATGAATTCAAGATGTAAGCTATAAGAACATAGGCTGAATATTTGGGTTTCTCTTTCAGAATCCAGAAACGCGAAAAATACAGCCGGAGACGCTCTTACAATGACGATGCAGATATTGACTACATTAATGAGCGGAATGCCAAATTCAATAAAAAGGCTGAGAGGTTCTACGGGAAATACACTGCAGAAATTAAACAGAATTTGGAAAGAGGAACAGCTGTGTAAACTGAACAGTTCAGGAGGCTGGCCTTGCCTTCTGCATCTGGCTTCTGTAAAACCTTCATGTGTAAAATACGCTTTGCAAACATGTTCTAATGCTAGAATGAAATTTGCCCACGTATATTACTCCTCCTCTCAAAGAAGGGCATGTTAGAAAAGTTAACTATTATGTAAATGTAGAAAACCAAACTATTTGAAGTTAGCGTTAGTGAGCCAATTATTTCATTTTTTGTTTTTAACGAAGATGAGAATGTTGAATCACAAATCCAGATTATTTTAATGTACCTGTGAAATTTGAAAACCATTACAATTGTGTTAATCGATATATTAATTTTGGTAGTTTGATTAAACTAAGAGCCGTAGCATATAAGGCTGTTTTTAAAACACTCTTGATATGTTTGCTTAATGAGCATCTACTTTATAATGCAATTAGTGGGGAGCCCCCAAAAGTAATGAAATATAATTCAGACGGATGTGCGAAACGCATCCAAGTAGTCTTGGCTATTGTACACAAAAAAAGGCTGGGTTAGAAAACTCCCTCTAAATATTATTTATCTTTAGAAATGGGTGTAATATTGTTTGTACAGGTGGTCCTCAACATATGACTGCTTGTTCAGAGATCTCCATAGTGCCCCACTCCTCCACCCTTCCCAACACCCACTTGCTACCCTTGCTGACTAACCTGCTTCCCAGTGCCCACCCACGGCACCTTTTCATCTCACGATCCTTATTTGGTACTCAACTCTTCTCACTTAATGACCCTTGCAGTAATTAGTTACAGCAGCAACGAAGACTGCTGCCGCTAAGTGACGCAGTCATGTGATACCATGCTTCATGACTGTGTCATTTAGTACTGGCAATTCCAGTCCACTTAACCATAGTAACCCAAGGATACTTTATAACAAATTAAGTCCGTTTCATCAAAAGATGCCAGTTTTATTATTCTGTTACATCAGGCGTCAGATGTGACCAAATGGTCAATTGTGCCTGGGTTAGTGGTGGCAAATACTTTCCCCAACAATTGGCTGTTGTTCAGGGTTAACTCTTTCCTTTTAGGACTTGCAAGTTGATGTGGCCATGTAAATGTCTTTAATGCTCAGCTCTTAATCCAACTCTCAAAATCTGTAAAATGGCATTGAAGCTTTTCCTCGTTAACAAAAGTTCTTGTGCTTGTTGGAATTAGGTGCTGCCTCAGTGTGCTCGCTGCTTTTCTGGTTGGTGCCAGCTGAGCTAGGCAGGAATCCCACCAGCATATGGTAGCTTCTGGTCCTGGCAATTGAGATAACCCTCTTGGCCTGGCTGAAATTGCTGCCTAGAATTGGTACATTCCTGAAAAATCTGGGCTGTGGTTCAATTTGCTAGACAGTGTGGATGCTAGTTAGGAAACTCTTAAGTGGGGGATGAATGAGTCCATTTCCTCTGGATTTTCAAGGGCTGTATATCCAACGATCAGTTGTTAGTGGTTAACATAATACTATATTACTATAATGAGTCTACTGCATTTGGAGTTAGTTCCCAAACTGACGGCGGTACAGAAGACTTGGTTGATGCAGTCTGAGTACTGTCAAAAGTGGTGGTTCTGGCTTGCCTTTACAGAGCTTGAGGCTAGGTTCCTCTATCTTGGCTTCCTGCTTGCATTCTGTCAATAGAATCTTACATCTAGTGCAGGGGTAGGCAACCTGGGCTCTTTTATGACTCGTGGACTTCAACTCCCAGAATTCCTGAGCCAGCTATGCTGAGGGGAGAGGTTTCCAAGCTGAGCCATGCTGGCTCAGGAATTCTGGGAGATGAAGTCCATGAGTCATTAAAGAGCCCAGGTTGCCTACCCCTGATCTAGTCCAAGAGAAGGTCTACTCCTGCTCTGGGGCAAGAGAAAATAATTCAGCCCTGTGTAAGAGTTTGGGAAGACCTTTAAAGGCTCCTGAAGGCAGATAAACTCAAACTCTTCCACTTTAAAGAGGAAAGCTTCCCAACATAAAGAGCTTGATCACAACATTGCCTATGGGTTTGTTAATTTTCCAAGATTAATTATGAAAATTTGGGGAAGTCACGAGGATGTGCTCACATGGTTAGAGATAAATGTTTTGGTAACCTTTTTTGGTATCTACCTTGATATCTATAAAATATCACAATTATTAATTTAGAAGGCATCAATTTTACCTGTGACCATATAGGGTTCTGCTCAAGTAAAGTGCAGAGTTGTAAAAGCTTTCAACACTTAAAACTTCTTTGCAGAAAGTTTTCTGTCTTTCTCTCAATGAAGAATATATTTAAATATAGCAGCTTCAATAAAATAACTCAAGAAGTTCTCCAATTTACAACCCACTCAAGAGCATTTTTAATTTAGTATTACTGCATTTCTTTACTAGAAATGTCGTCTCCAGACAATGTATTAATAGCTTGAATCTTATACTTACTTACCAAGGGCAACCATATACAGGACAAAGCTATTAATTTTCATTTTAATCTAACAAAGAGAAGATTTCCAGCCTCATACTTTCTTTCAGTACCATCTTGAACTGCCAGTATCACTTAAGCAGATGACACTAAATTTGTAGATATGCCTTATTTGGTTACTTGCAAGCAAAAACAACTCCAAAAATGGTTAATGTTCATTTTGCCCCTTTAAACTCCCTGAAAACATGTGGACTGATCTGGATGTTTGAAGTGGTACTTCTGATACATTATACTTCTGCTCTTTTAAGGTACCCATTTTACCCTTTAACACAAAAGCAGACCGAATAATTCAAACTCAGCCTGTTCCAGGGGTGGCAAACATTCCAGGAAGCTCACCAATAGTTTATGGTTAATCTATCCCTGTATCCATATACTGCTTGAGTGTTTTAGATTTCAGATAACAGAATCTAATCAAATATGTGATTTGCTAAAATAGCTATTTTTGCATGTCTTGTTCCTTTGAATAAAACAGTACAATTCCACAGAATAATCAAAAGTTTATATAAATTCTTTACTATTACAGATTTTTATGAAAATTGCGGAAAATATGCAACTTGTATAAATTCATCCTTCATTAATTTTGAATGCCATTTTTTCTTGATTATTGTAATGTTATACAGTTCAAAATATTTGGCCAATAATTCAACAATTAAACTGTAATTTGAAGGCAGATACCTAACAATATTCACACAATTGCAAGGCTTCTTATGTATTTATTTCTTTTTCCAAGATTTGCCATTATTTATAAGGTACACTGTAAGATGCTTCAAATACTGCCATTTTCATATCTGGACAAAGAATTTTGATATACTTTCTTCACAACCCAAGATTTTTTCCCCCCCTTAAATACCTTTTTCTGTCAAGAGAAGAGGGCTTTTATTGCGAGACGGTTTCTCCACCTTCTATAACAAGGGTGTCAAACTGCCAGCCCAGATGCATCATGCCAAAACCACGCCCACCCCATTGCTGGCAATGGGGAAAAGGTCGCAATACATCACGTGACATCGCAAGTTTGACACCCATGTTCTATAAGTTTCCAGACATATGGTTCTTCCAAACCTATAGTATCCTCAGCTTCTTGATCTACCTGAGGAGTAAGACCTGTGATAGTATGATCTAATAGGAGATCTGCTCCGTGATCAATATCTTGGCCGTGAGTGAGGATGTCTTCTGTAATATCTAAGATGGTATCTTTCCTGGTATCCGTAATTGTGTGATCTTGATCAACTCCTGGAATAAGATCTTGAGTATCCTCTGGATGTCTGAAAACAATTACTTTTAGCATGTGATCTTGATCTGCTTCTTGATCTACTCCAGATGAAATACTTGAAGTAGAACTTGAACTGTAAGATGAATCACTAGAAGATACTGAGGAGGATCGCCTGCTACAGCTGCTCCTTGAACATAACCGAGATCTCCCTTTAGGTGAGCTCAGAGTAAAGTCATCCATGAATCCTGTCATCTCATCTGTCTTCTTGCTCACTTTCTGCTTCTCAGAAATTTTAGAACATGTCCCTTCTGTTGTCTGCTGTCCAATCCCGATTACTTTAGATAAAAAAAAATGTCTTAGAAAACCACAATACTGTAAACTTAAATTTCTCCTCCTACTTATGTCTTTCTGACCTGCCTTAATTCATATTCCATTTTATAACAATCACTAGAACTATTTTCCAACTTTACTCAAATTCCTAACAATAATCAAGTATTTAGGAGACAAGCCTAAGCAATTTACTCAGACATCTATTTCGCTGCTAACACAAAACAGCAGGATTAGAATTCTTTTAACAATGTGCCCACAAAGATTAAGAGTCTATCCGCATTTAGTCAAAATGCAGCTGTTACATAACAGCCATTTTAGCAACACACATTATTGCTATGGAGTCCATCCTGCTATAAACACAACTCCAAGTCTTTCCTTCTATACATCTGTTCCTTTTTTCCTTATTTCCAGTTTCATCATTGTTAATAAATTTGCTGCACATTTAGAAAGATTGTACCCTGCTGTTTTCTTCTATCTCAGTGGTTCTCAACCTGTGGGTCGGGACCCCATTTGGGGTCGATCAACCATTTCACGGGGGTCGCCAAGCAAGGCTGTCTGCCATTTTTTTCCCCTTTTCCGGCGGGTGCCTTACCTCCCTTGGGCTGGGCCAGCTGGTGGTCGGCCTGCTCCATCTCTGCCGCTTGCCAGCTACGCCTCGGCCGGCGCAGGGGGCGGAGCCACGCATGCGTGGCGCTCCCGGGCAGGGAAAGTCCTCGACTTACGACTGGTTGGGTAGTCCTCGACTTACGACCGGTTTAGTCCTCGACTTACGACCGGTTTAGTCCTCGACTTACGATCGGTTAGGGTCGCGGCATTAAAAAGGTTGAGAACCACTGTTCTATCTCATAACCACCAATTACAGAATTTCAGACTACAAATATCCTAGCTATAAAACATTAACTCAACCATACACCAATTCATAGTTTAAAGTTACCATCAAGCGCTACGGAAATCTCTTCTTGCAACTTCCAATGATTTGGTGAGGACTCCTGCAAAAAATCAAGTGAACAACTAGATCAATCTCTTCCTAATGCAAATATTAGTATTTTACCTAGTAACATCAGAGATTTATTTCATAGTAATTTGAAATGAAATGCACTGTAAAATCGCACTGACAAAGTAAGCATTCAAGCACACCTTCAGGTACTATAATCAATAGGGGGGGGAGTCAATTGCGTTCAGTCAGAGAAGTCATGATGATCCAGCTACAATATTCAAACTAAATCATCAAATTAAAAAGCTATCAAAATTTGCATAGTATATCAAGCCATGTTAATCACTCTGGCTTAATTTTCACAATACTGAACCACAAAGCAACCATGAGCTATATGCAAACCCAGTCAGCACAAAATTTCACATACGGTTCAGTATTAAACTTTTGGCTAGATGAATATGGTTCTTAATTTCTCTGTGTTCAGGTATAGCTTACAGAGTGCTTAATCCTTAGAATTTAACCATTTCCCCTTCTTGCCCGCAGGTTAGCAATACTTTACCTAACCCTATCTTTGGTTATTGTAAATATACTCAATGCCTTTGGTTATTATTTTAAACGCATTAGGAAAAAAAGAACCAAGACCAGAAGGACGAGTTTTAAAAAACAAAAAAGGGTAGACTGCACTGTTACAAACGTAATCCAATGCTCCGTCAAGTTTATAGCCAATTAAAGGGAGGGCTGCAACAAATGAAAGATAGGGGAAAAATTAAGACATTTGTTTAACTACAAATTAAGAAAAAAAATCCGTAATTTGCCCATTAAAACCTGGTAGCAGCAGAAATTAGGTCCAATTTCTGTATAAACCAAAGCGATTTGCACTCATCTTTACCAAAACGAAACAGGCTTGATACGGGATTTCCAAATAAAAAAATTCAGAACCGAACTGGATCTTACGGCCATTGACGAATACAGAAGAATTTTACAAAACAACGCAAAAAAAGGTGGGATTTGCGGGTTAGATTTCAACGAAGGGAAAACCCAATGCAGATTTCTACACACCTCGAGCAGCTTCGGCCGATTTTTGTAGACCAGGCTGGCCAAAGGGAAGCCCAGGGCAAGCTGACCTCGCCCCTGCCATCAACAACAGGCAACAACTAAGGGGCGAGCTCTCTTCGGCCTTCCAACGCGACCATCTTAAGGCCCCGAAAGTCGCGCCCTGCATTCCCAGGCCCTGCGGCGTCTTCGAGTGAGGTGGAGACCCGACACCTCCATCAGGGGTAGCGTTAATCTCATGCGGGGGGAAGTGCGGTTAAATCAGGATTAACGTCGTGTGAACGTAGCCTTCGTGGCGAGTTAATATTACGCATACATAAAAAAAACCCGAACAGGACTTCCTGGCTCCGCGGAGGTCCCTGAGGGGAGAGCTCGGCTTCGTTAGTCACTGCCATTTTAGAGCAAAGTAGATCGAGGAAAGGCTTGAAAATACACTCCAAATTCCTCACGCTAACGATGAAATAGGTAAAAACCCCGCTCGCGACTCCTCAGGAGGCGCCACCGCCAAGCAGACCCTCTCCTGCGAGGGCCGGACTCCGACAGAGGGCCGACTCCGACAGAAGGAACCAGAATAGCTTAGCGAAGCGCTCCGGTAAAGCGCGCGATTGCTAAATATTCATGGCGCTACTGCGCAAGCGTACTACAGGGTGGGCGGGGCCTATGTGTTCCTCATATAGCTGGGGTCTACCACCTTGACAACTTTAAGACTTGTGGACTTCAACTCCCAGAATTCCTGAGCCAGCACGGCTCAGCTTGGAAACCTCTCCCTTTCCCCTCAGCGTGGCTGGCTCAGGAATTCTGGGAGTTGAAGTCCACCAGTCATAAAAGAGCCAAGGTTGCCTACCTCTATCCTAGGGAATTCGTCCCACGGAATTAGAAATCGGGAATCTTTCAGGAACATTCTCATGAACCTCGCCGTAGCACGAAAATGTTAAACGTTCTGACATTCAGTTCTTAGGCTAAACCGACTGGTCCAAGCACATGTATCATCGGCGTCATTCTTAAGCGTAAAAAGCATTGGCGGGGGTAACAGCCACCTCTTTTAAACATGCCACAATTTTGCCTCCCACGCTAGATTTGGCCCTCGACATAACCGAACAGTCTTCGATTTTTAAAAAGACTCAAAACACGCCCATCACCAACGGACTCCGTTTTCGGCAGCGCGCCTGCGCCAGCCTTGCAGCCGGGCTGTCAAATCGATCCCGCCGCTTGGCGGCGCATGCGCAGCCCCAAAGCCCTGTTTCAAGCGGAATGACTAGAAAGCTTGCGCCTACGTACGAGCGGGCGAGCCGAGTTTGCGCTTGCGCAGAAAAAGGCATCCTGAATGCGGCCTTTCTAGCATACGGGTTCTTGAGCCGGCCCCGCTTTTGTTTATCTCGGGGTGAAGGCGGGGTTAGCGCTGGCGACGCCCGCAGTCAGCTGAGCGCGTGCCGGCTACCTTTCCAAGGCGCTTGAGGGGCGGTAAGTGAGGAGGGGACCCCGCGGCCCTCAGCGAAGACTCTCGATCTGCCCGAGAGGGTCGCAGCCCGGTGCTAGCGCTGGCCGGCGTGGGTTGTATGGCAGACTGGAGAACCGCGGGTCGCCCGAGCGATTTCCCCCCAGAAGCAGGGCCTGCGTGTTTGGAGAGCCGTTCTCACGACACGCTTAACTCGGGGACTGAATGAATCCCCTTGGGAGGGGGGGGTTCGACTGCTGCGTCGGCGTCGGCCCAATGGCTGACTGGGGAATTCTGGGAGTTGAAGTCCACATACCTCTAAACGAGATTAGATTACAAAACATTGGTATATATTCTATTGGGCGACCCCAAACGGTGTGGAAATGTTTATGGTTCAGTAACTGGGATTTCCAGGTATATGTAATTGTGATTGATTTAGCAAGGGGATTTATTTTTATTTTATTTTTTTTTAATTGGCCTGACATATAAAAACTATACTAAAATGTGGCTGGCAGGTTTATAACGATGTATGTTGTGTGGACCTAGAGCAGTGGGTTAATTGAATTAAACAGGATGTGTGAGTGGTGCTCTTCTTGTGGTAGGAAATGGGAGTATTTTATCCACACAATAAAACCAGTATAGAAAAGTAAGAACTATTTCAATAGAACCCAAATATGCTTTTTCAAAAGGCAGGTGGATTTTGTTTTTCTTTGAAGATGTTTCGCTTCTCATCCAAAAAGCTTCTTCAGTTGCCTTTTGAAAAAGCACCTTTGGGACATCCATGACTGAATTACTGAGAATCTCCATTGACATTTCAGTGTAACAGTCAAGACTGTTTCAGTAGTCTTCATTGCTATGCCTTTGGTACTGTCCATGGGGTTTTTCATGGCAAAGATACTGGAGTGGGTTGCCGTTGTCCATGGGGTCGCGATGGGTCGGACACAACTTCGCAACTAACAACAACAAATTGCTATGCATCTGGAGCAGGGGTAGATCCCTGGCTCAGGAATTCTGGGAGTTGAAGTCCACGAGTCATAAAAGAGCCAAGGTTGCCTACTCCTGATCTGGAGCAACTTAATTTTGACCTGTGAATACTGTACAGTTCACCAACTGGGGTACTGAAGTTTCCTTGTCAAAGGATGTTTGAAAAGAAGCTCTGGTTGGCATTAGAGTTTTGTATTTGTTGAAACGTAGCCATTTTGTTGATATGAAGGCCAAACTTCGTGTTCATTTGGAATAACTTCCACTGCATTAAGCAGAAGTGATTTTCTGAAGAGTATGTATTTGCACACTTACTTAGGCGAAGGAATTTTTATCCTGAGTTTGCTGAAAATCTCTCTAGTAAAGGAAGTTGTAAATGGGATATTTTCAATTGTGTGATTGTCTGCTTTTGTTAAGAAAAGCAATTTGCTGATGATAAACATTTGCTTAACAGCATATTTTATAGTCAAATGCATCTAGATCAGGGGTCTTCAAACTTGGCCCTTTTATGACTTGTGGACTTCAATTCCCAGAATTCCTCAGCCAGCGTGCCTGGCTAAGGAATTCTGGGAGTTGAAGTCCACAAGTCATAAAAGGGCCAAGTTTGAAGACCCCTGATCTAGAGACTTAACAGAGCACAGCTGAGATATGTGTTTCAGCACCTCTGGATCTCTCTGTGTATGTGTATGGCTAAAGGTATCTGTCAACATTTTTATATGCATCTTGGATTCTAACACTTTGAAAGCAGTAAATACTGTTGGCACATTTTAAAAAATAATGCATTTAAAATGAAACCAGAGAAAGAAAAATTACATTCATTTTCTTGCCTAGGTTTTTCAGAGGATTAAAATATGTCTGGGTTCCTTGAAAATGTTAGATGCTCCGAGTGTGTTGACTGGGGAGAAAAGCGAAATACAATAGCATCTATCGCAGCTGGTGTGCTGGTGTGTATGTTTAATTCTTATTTGTATACTAACATGCCTTACAATATTAGATAATATAAAAATCTTTATTGTTATACTATGAATATTTGACATGCATAATATGAAAGAATCCATAAGTCAACCTTGAAATTTATTAATTCAGTAAATTTAGAATGCAGCTTATCTTTTAACGTTCTTCTGTAAAAGTATTGTTATTTGGGGCCAATAAAGTGTTTGTGCTTATTGTAATCTTTTCTCATTGTCTCTCAAATATTATTATTTTAATGTCTATTAGAGTAGTGATAAAAGATGAGCATTGTGTTGGTGATGCTGATAATGGAAATGTGTTCAGTTTTTTACAGGGTGGTGGATTATAATAGATGCAGCTGTCAAATATCCAGGTTCAGCAGAGTTCAATCATTCATACCATGCTTGTGGAGTTATAGCTACGGTTGCATTCTTAATGTAAGTAATATTTCCATCCCAGTGTTAAAAATATTTCTTTAAGAATTTATTTGAAATATATGTTCAAATCTAATACCTGATATTCAACATCTAATTCAGTGATGGCGAACCTTTTAGAGACCGAGTGCCCAAACTGCAACCCAAAACCCACTTATGCATCGTCGAGTGCCGGGTGGGTGTGGCCCATTGGCTGGGTGTGGCCAATTGGGTGGGCGGGGCCAATTGGGTGGGCATGGCTGTGGCGGTAACAGCAGACTGGGTGGGACTAAAAAGTTCAATCAATCAATTCCAACTTTGCAAGATCTTTTTTTTTCCCGCGAGACGTTGAAATTGACTGATTGAACCTTTTTTTTTTTTTGCACACGTGGCGGAGGCCTAAAGTGAAAAGGTTTTATAAAACCCAGCTGAAGGCCTAGGACTGGGGCGACGGCACGCGTGACCACAGAGAGGGCTCAGTGCCGCCTCTGGCACCCGTGCCATAGGTTCACCACCACTGATCTAATTGAATGTTCTGTAGTTTAATCAGACTGAATACACATTCCATTTAACCAAGCCCTAGGTTTATTTTGTTATGGGATACAGCTACCTTAGGGCAGAGGTAGGCAACCTTGGCTCTTTTATGACTCGTGGACTTCAACTCCCAGAATTCCTGAGCCAGCATGAGGGAAACTTTGGCCCCTTCATGACTCGTGGACTTCAACTCCCAGAATTCCTGAGCCAGCATGAGGGAAACTTTGGCCCCTTCGTGACTCGTGGACTTCAACTCCCAGAATTCCTGAGCCAGCATGGCTCAGCTTGGAAATCTCTCCCTTTCCCCTCAGCATGGCTGGCTCAGGAATTCTGGGAGTTGAAGTCCATGAGACATAAAAGAGTCAAGGTTGCCTATCCCTGCATTAGGGTAAATGATTTTTATGGGTAACGGGCTGAGACTGCTTGGAGTTTAGGTAGAACATCAGGAAGGCTACATACTGCCCATGTTGTCCCAGTTTCAGATGAAAATTCCTCCTTGGGGACCACATTGCCATAGTATTGAAAAATTGGGCTCAGAAGTGCCTGAAGGCTGACTTGTGTCGTGAAAATGCCAGATGGCATTAACAAGTTTTTGCCTTCACCCTTCTTCCTTTTGCAACATAGGGATAATAATTCTGCTCTGCCTCGTGCTGTTACTGCAAGAAAGGCAACAATAAAGTGCAAAGTTAAAGAACATTTCAGACACTTTGAAAGGCCATCGGTTACTGAATTTTCAACACTCATGCCAAATTCAATTCTGTGTTGTTTGTGTAGGATCAATGCCGTCTCCAACGGTCAGGTGCGTGGGGACAGTTACAGTGAAGGGTGCCTTGGGCAAACAGGTAAACATATTTTTCCTCTTATTGTTTATAGCAAAATTGAAAGAAAACTTTTTTTAAAAAAATAAATGCTGTGACAGCCTCTTTCCCATCTATTTAAAAATTCAACTTTTGTCATGGATGAGAAGTAACAGCCTTCCTTTATTCTGTTCGTTTAGCAAGTTGGAGTATAATATTCCTAACTTTACAGAGAAAATTCAGTTACATTTTGAAATGATGCATCTGCCATTTTATTTTCTCATATATTTTTTGAGACCCAATTCTCCTATCTTAGCAATTTATGCTAAGGTCCAATTGATTTAAAGACCATGGTTTTGTTCCCTGTGCTTCTGGGAAAATAACTGTTTTTAAAATGGATTCCAGTAGCTGTTTTGATTATGCAGAGGATTGGAGATAGATCTTCCCAGCCCAGTATTAGATTCTCAAAATAAGCTTTTAAGGAGGTGCAGTGGAAAATGTTTGTTTTCCTAAAGGGATGTGTTTGAAAACATAATGTATGACAATTGCACATTGGGGGGGGGGGACAATACATTTTTAGGGTTTTGATCATAGAATATTCCGAACATTCCCTAGGTGTTACCATTCAAGCAAGAAAATCTGTTTGTGTCATGTATGAAAAATGTTGAATTAGTTTATTTTGAAAATAATGTGGTTATCTTTGTGCACATTAAGGTGCCCGCATCTGGCTGTTCATCGGTTTTATGTTGGCATTTGGATCCCTGATTGCATCAATGTGGGTTCTCTTTGGAGGCTATGTTATTAATGGTAAGAAAACTGCACGTGAAATATTGTTCAATTTTAGTCTTCTCTGGAAAAGGACTGTATCTTTTTTCTCTTGTGTCAAGTCTGATAAAATTCCATTGGAAATAAGAAATCACGGCATTGTTTAAAGCTCTTCTCTTATATAGTTCTTTCCTAGAGGCTCAACACAGTTATATTACCACTGTCTTTTTCTTTAAATTTTTTAGGCTGTGTTCACACAGACAAGAAATCTAATATACTTATAGCATAAACCACAATGCGCTAAGTTTTAAATATACACAAATCATATTGTGCTTTAATATTATATGAACATGGCTTCGGAGAATCCTGAGTTGTGAAAGCTCGTTCTTAACATCGTTGTAGAAACTACTGTATATAAAAAATATATTCTTTAGAATGTGATCATAGACATGTTTACACTCTTCCCAAGCAGAATGAGGTTTGCTTTGAGGAAGATTATTTGTATTCCATCTTTCTACCATTTCCACATGTATTTGCTGGTTTATTTTTCAGTGTGTAATTACTTAACTGTAGTTTGAAATAGACTGCTTTGAACAATATTTTAATTGTCAAAAAGCTAGCAAAAATATTTTGCGAATCATTTGATCATGACAGAAAAACAGTATCAAATTTTGCAAGTAAATAAATTCCTAAATAAACTGTTGGATACATTCCTAAAAACTGCTTGCCAGATTCTGATAAGAATGGCACCATCAAAAGCTATCTCTTAATGCTTTCAGCATTCAGAAAATAAACTACACTGGTGTGGGAAGATGCTAATAATAAACTTCAGGAGTCTGATAAAATAATTCTTTTTCCACAGACAAACCAGACAAGCCACCGGTTTATCCAGGAATCGCAGTCTTCTTTCAAAATGCTTTTATTTTCTTTGGGTAAGAATGCTTTCCATTCTTTATTTGGATTTATTATGTACATTATTATGCTCATCTATTATTTATTATGATAATCTATTATATCAACCTGGATATTTTGGGAAGTCCTGTGTAAGTGGTTATTAAAACAGGTTGGAGGCAGTGGTAAAAATGAACCAGTTTACAATACTGATATAAATTTTAGCAGAGATGTGTGGGAATATTACCATAAAACTTAAAAAATTGCAAAACTTTAAAAAAGATTTATTTGGGATATTTGTATCTTTTTGTTCTCTTTTACGCTGATTAAAATAACAAAACGCGTACTGAGCCAACAAAAACTAATCATAAAAATATATTTATAGACTGCCTTTTATTGAGATACATAACAACCAACTTAATTAAAACATCGTAATGTCAAAGCTGGCCAGTAAATATGAATCTTTACTCAATAAAAGTATAAAAGCATAAATAAACAAATCAAATAATACTATCAAACAAGAACCAGCCACAGAATATGGTAAAATAAGGTTTTTCCAAAGTTATGCTAAGAACATATTTTCGTATATTAATAAAATTGAAGCTTAGGTTGCCCCTTACGTCCTTCGTCTGAAATAATATTCAATCTGATTCAGGACAAGACTGTTCCCCTTTGTCTTTTCCTAGAGAAAAGCATCTAAAGAAGTTTTAAAGATAAAGATACCTTACATGCCTAAGAAATCCTTATTTGTCCAAAGAAATGGGGGTGATGCTTGATTTTGGAAATGAGAGAGATTTGTGCCAACAATAAAAGAGGTTTTTTTTTTACAAGCACACACCAAACTTGGCTATTTTACTAACTCTGCTGCACATCCATATTTCAGGTATATAAGCCATAGCAAAAAGAAACAGTGCAAATTATTGACCCTACAGATAGCATTTAGAGACGCAGTTGGACTGAGCATGCCGGAAAGAGTGCTGGCTTCACACTTTCCTTACACTAAGCTTTTTTTTAAAATTTTTATTAATAATACAAAATTAAAAACACATTGGACATAGATATGACGTCACTGGTTCCATACATCTTCCAACATTTTACAATAGTATTAGTACTCATATAGACATATAGTTTTTGAACTTTGCTCACTGGGTTCATCATACAATACATTTGACGGTGGAAAAGCAAGCTTTGGGATCGCGTGTTTCCTTTGGGGAAAAAAATGGGGGGGGGGGCATTTCTGCCAGTCAATATTATAGGCCAGTGATGGCGAACCTTTTAGAGACTGAGTGCCCAAACTGCAAGCCAAAACCCACTTATGCATCGTCGGGTGCCGGGTGGGTGTGGCCCATTGGGGGTGTGGCCCATTGGCTGGGCGTGTCTTGGGTGGGCGTGGCTGCAGTGGTAACGGCAGACTGGGTGGGACTAAAAAGTTCCAAATCAATTCCAACTTTGCAAGATCTTTTTTTTCCCGCGAGTTGAAATTGATTGAACTTTTTTTTTTTTTTTGCACACGGCAGCGGAGGCCTAAAGCGAAAAGGTTTTATAAAACCCAGCTGAAGGCCTAGGACTGGGGCGACGACACGCATGCCCACAGAGAGGGCTCTAAGTGCCGCCTCTGGCACCCGTGCCATAGGTTCGCCATCACTGTTATAGGCCATAAAATTTCCCCAAGTTTATCTGTGTAATATGATTTTACCATCATGGTCTCTTTTCTGGCCTTTATTTCTTTCTCACACTGGTTTGCCTTTCAGCAGTCAGAACATTGTGTCAAACTGGTGGCCTGCGGGCTGGATGCGTCAGGCCATGCCCACCCCGGCTCCACAAAGGCACAAAAACGTCACAATACATCATGTGACGCGATCGAGTGTGACACCCGTGCCTTATGGAGTCTCTTTGCCTGGAAAACAGTGTTTCTCAACCTCATCCTCTTTTTAAGATGCTTGGACTTCAGCTCCCAGAATTCCCCAGCAAGCACACTGGCTAGGGAATTCTGGGAGTTGAAGTTCACACATCTTAAGTGCTGAAGTTGAGAAGCATTTCTGCAAAGTATGAACAGTATATTAATGGCACAGCAAAGCAAAGGAACGATTGAAATGAACAGGGGCTATATTAATCTCTGACTGAAGGACATCTTTTCTCTTCTGCTTTTTTTTAATACGTATGAGGGTCCTGACCTCCATGTAGCTAATAATTTGTCTCTCTTTCTAACAGCGGTCTGGTATTTAAATTTGGTCGCACTGAGGACTTGTGGCAATAAGTGATGTGGAGCATCTCACCTGCTATTTTTTAATCGCCATTTTGTAATATATTAGTGCTCTGCTATCGGCCAAGAAGAAAACGGTCCGCATTTTTAAATCATGATACAGTTCCATTTTTGTTCCCTTCAGACTTTTCTACTCTTGGCTTTTTGACGTTAAATATCGTAGCCTGCAATTAAGCTGAGATGGAAGAGGAACTCTTACCTCTTACTGAATGTTTTTGTTATACCTTAATATTAATGTATCTTTTACCGTCCCTTTATTCGGGGGTATAAGTGCTGTTTTTTTTTAATGTGAAATATGTGACTGACAGCATACGTGGAATGCTTGTATGTGAAGGTTATTATGTGCATAAAAATGTAATGGAAATATACTGTTAATTGTATTTCCAAGGTGACTTTCTTCTTGCAGATTCTTGCAACGTTTTGGGAATTTTAGCAAAAGCTTATCCATCATGGAAGACTAACCTTTTCCTCAGATACACGCCCTGTCTTCCCTGCACGCTGTGGTTTTCCAACATATCTGGGAGGTGCTCTTTGCAGAAGGCTGTGCAAGAAATTTCCAGTGCAGCCTTCTGGCTTTGCAGGGAAGTCAATTCTCCATTGTGGAAAGGAATAAGTAGTCTGGTTTGTCCATTGGGTTAACTAATATTTTTTTTAATCAAAGCCCTCTTGACACAGGATGCTGAGCCAAACCTAAACAAACCATATGATGGCTTAGAGCAGGGGTAGGCAACCTTGGCTTAGAGCATCATATGCCGACCCATGGGCCGGATGCGTCACGCGGAAGCCACACCCACCCCAGCTCCAGCAAGGGGAAAAAATCACGATACGTCGCGACACGTCACGTGACGCGGCGAGTTTGACACCCCCGGCTTAGAGTAATACATGAACTCCATGATTGTGAAACGCACTGTATATAAACACAGAATGGTGTGACCTGACTCAGTTTCACATATAATATTTAATCTTCACCTTCCACTCAACATTATTTATGCATTTTAGAAGCCTAGAATGTAAAAAGCACCATTTTTTAAAAAGAAGCACTGACATATTAATTTTAGCCTTACAAGCAAGTATTTTATACGAAACGCTTACCAAATATTCTGGCAATTTTAATAAAGCAAATAAGTCTCTTTTCATGCATTTTTGTGGGATCAGAGAGAAAGTCTCTTAGCTATGTAGCTTGCTGCCCTCCTGAAGATTGTGTTCAGAATCCAACAGCTAAATGGGGGAACTAGATATGAGAAAAATAAGATATTTTTTTAAAATACTGTTTTCTATCTCAGTAATGCACTCTTAAATGCAACTACTAATTAGGGTGAGTTTACATATGGTGGAGAGTTGGTTCTGCCAAAGTGTGAGATATATACAAATCTTGTTTGCTTAACCAAAGTTACTGAATCCCCCTAGGTGGCTAATTAATCTGGTTAGACATAAGCTGTAGCTTACAAACCAAAATTACTAGGTTTCCACAAAACATTAACACCAAATTGAGCAAATTACATTCAAATGGGATCCGATTCTAGAACATCCAAAACAGTGAGAAATATGTAGAGTGGTTGTAACATGTTCATATTACATGTATTCATCAATGAGAAAGATTTGGGTTCTACACTTTTAAATATAGTAGCGTTCATTATGATAACACTGTAAAATATAATCCTACCTCCCAATAAGCTTGATCATCAAAGTATTTTGTTACAGGAGGTGCTTTCCATAATTTGCAAGTTAAAATGAGACCTATAAAAAAAATTGAAACCAGACCTGCATTGAAAATCTGAACATCTGCAATACATTTCTACAGTTTATCACTGTTAATGATACCCAGCTAAATCATTTTGGGTCTTGTTATCTGTTTTACTTTAAAGAACCGTGTAAACTTCCCTGACTGTTTTATTGAACTTGTGCCAGCATATGTGGGGGCTGTTGGGTGAACGTTGGCAGTGCTTACAAAGACAATTGTTCTGACCAGCTAATTGCTTTGCCTCCGTTCGGGGCCCTGGGTCATCATCACACTTGGTGTGACCCTCCGCAGTGCTAGCAGCCCCATTTATGGAGGGCGCATGCTCACGGCCCCGTTCACACGTATGCGCGCACAGAGCTACATTTGGGTGTGAGCATGCGCGCGTAAAGGTGTCTGCCCCTCCCTTTCCCACTGGGCTGCCAACCCAGAAAGTTGGTGACCCCTGTTGTAAAGGTTGGACAATCTTGGAGGATAATTGCAGACCCAATAAAACACTTGTAATTGACGATTTTGGGATACTGACCTGTAATCAGACCACCGAACAGACTGAGGCATAGGCTCATGCTGAGTGCACCAACTTCAATTAACGCTGAATAACCAAATCTGTAATTGATCATAAAGGCAAAGAAGCATTCAAAAGTCAAGAAGGGAAATGAAAGACGCCTTCTGTTTTCTAAATAGGGACTCTTGCTAGTCTTTACAAACTGTTTCATTAATTTCTAAACTTACTTTCTTTCTTAAGGACACTGTTTCATACCTCCTGCATGCTGGGTGTGGAGCACCCAGGAGTTCTGGAGGTCTTGAATATTTCCCTAGAGCTGCTTAAACTGAGTGTCCCCTGAAACATACTTAATTCTACTGCAGCTGTGCAAAGATAATGGAAGTCAGTCCTAGTGGGTCAGCTATCTTGTAGGGGAAATCAAAACTCAATAAAATAATGTCAAAAAACAAGAACATATATGAGCTCCCAAGTCACTTTTCCAAAACTTTAAGGTAGTTCTGGGCTTGTGAAAATAGAGTGACTGGCTAAGTCACCTAAGGACTTCCATGTTTGAGAAGGAAGTTATACAGGGTAGTCCTCGACTTACAACAGTTCATTTAGTGACCGTTCAAAGTTACAATGACACTGAAAAATGTGACTTATGACCATTTTTCACAGTTATGGCCTTTGCAACATCCCTGTGTTCCTGTGATCAAAATTCAGATGCTTGGCAACTGGTTCATATTTATGACCGGTGCCGTGTCCCTGGGTTATGTAATCAGCTTTTGCAACCATTTGGCAAGCAAAATCCATGGGGAAGCCAGATTCACTTAACAATCGGATTACTAACTTACCAACTGCAGTGATTCACGTAATAACTGTGGCAAGGTTGTAGAATGGGGCAAAACTCACTTAACAAATGTCTCACTTAACAACATACATTGTGGGCTCGATTGTGGTCGTTAAGTCGAAAATTGCCTGTATTTGAGTCTTTACAGACTGATCCAAGATGGCAATAAGAATTAAATCTCACAGGGTCAGCCCAAGAACAACGTAGACCAGGGGTGTCAAACTGCCCAGTATTGGAAAAATGAAAATTTACCATCTGAAGAGATCATAATTAAGAAAATTTTAGAATGTGCGGAAATGGACAGATTAACCTTAGAGATTAAAGAGAAGGAAGATTCAGTTTACTTTAGAATACGGGATAATTTTTACCAATGGTTAGGAAAACGAACTAGTGAGAAATGATTGTGATATTTAATGGCGAATATATTTTAATAAGATGAAGGATATGTATTGATTCACTGATATTGTTTATGATTATTGTTTCTCATCTATACTATAGCTATTTACTGTTATACCAATTACTGCTATTGAACATATGTACCCGGACAATAGTCTGTTTGCTAAAGCTTGAAAATGTTAATGGGGGTAACCCCATTGTTGTTCCTATTCCTGTTCCAACCCCAACTCCAACCCCGACCCCTATCCCGAACCCCAATTCCCATACTGATCCCATCCCCTCCCCAACTTTATAAAATTCAATAAAACTTTATATTAAAAAAAATTGCTGTCCTGCGGGCCGGGTGCATCGTACTGAAACCGCGCCCACCCCATTGCGGCAATGGAAAAAAAGTCACAATACATTGTGACACGTCACGTGACATTGCGAGTTTGACACTCCTGATGTAAACTAATCCAGCCAGAGTTCAGTTCTTTCTATGCTTATATCCAATAAACAGAATCTTGCCAGACTAAACCAATACTATTCTCACCCTAATGGATATACCCTGAGAGGGATCCTGACTCTGTTCCAATCCAGCTCCAGGCTGTGCTACTACTTGTCCTGCCCTCCTCCTTGGAATGTCTCCCCCCCTTCCTGGGAAACTATCATTTCACTACAGTCCATCACACCTCTGCAGGCCTCCTCACTCACATGATTATACAACATGTAAGCTGACTCTGATTATCAACCAAGGATTCTTAAAATTGATCAAGGGTAATACAAACTGACAGATTCGGCTTACACTGAGAGGTTCTTGCGGTGGCTTGCTAGGATGAGAACAACGTGGATTATCCCTCCAAGCAAACTGGGCAGGCCAAAAGTGTAATGAACACCACAAGTATCACGGATTTTGAGGGCTGGATCCAAATGTCCCTGAGTTTGATAGGAAGAGGAATGTAGAAAAGGCAAGCACACAATGAGGTTTTTGTACTAGAAGTTACAACCATCAGTGTTTATGTATAAACATATAGCCTATCCCAGTGGTGGCGAACCTATGGCAAGGGTGCCAGAGGCGGCACTCAGAGCCCTCTCTGCGGGCACGCGCACTGTCTCCCCAGTCCTAGGTCTTCAGCTGGGTTTTATAAAACCTTTTCGCTTTAGGCCTTCGCCGCCATGTGCAAAAAAAAAAAAAAGGTTCAATCAATCAATCAATTTCAACTTCTCGCGGGGAAAAAAAAGATCTCGCAAAGTTGAAATAGCTTGATTGAACTTTTTAGTCCCACCCAGTCTGCCATTACCACTGCAGCCACACCCACCCAATGGGCCACACCCACCTGGCACCCGTCAATACATAAGTGGGTTTTGGGTTGCAGTTTGGGCACTCGGTCTCTAAAAGGTTCGCCATCACTGGCCTATCCTCTTATTATTTTTTAACAGCCCCAAGGTAGGGCTTTAAACAGAACTGTCTGCATGCCTCTTTCCACAGAAATGTGGAATGCGGAGGCCTTGGCCTCATGGACTGTATGAGCCTCTTCATAACTATGGAGAAGACTAGCACACGTTGCTTGTTCCATGACCAGCAATGAAAAGGTATAAAACAGGGAGGGTTACCTGTAACCAGGCTGTGCCAAGGACAGAAACTGTGCCTGCTGCCAGACCCAAAACCATTGCAATCCAAGGCTGTTGGATGTCGGAAGCGGAGAAACCAAGAGCAATCCCACCTGCCAGTGTAGCATTCTGGATGTGAGCCTGGACAACAACAACAACAAAAAAAAAGAAATCGAAACCTGGGTTAAACTGGGTGGCTGCTTTCTGTTCATGAAAGGCAAAATAGCCTTGGAGTCTCTTGAACCAGGATTTTATTTATGTACTCATTTGCCTTTCCAGGAGGTCCAGGTTCTACAGATGGTTTCTCCCTTTATCTTTGTGAAGGAATGTAGACTGGGCCTAAGGGAATGGGGAAGGAATGAGTGAATCATTAAGAGGGGGACTTGTATGATATACTCCTGAGAAAGAGGAAAGAAACTCAAAATAATCACAACCTAATTATCTATCCTCGCTCATTTTAAACCAGGGGTCTTCAAACTTGGCCCTTTTATGACTTGTGGACTTGAAAAATACGGCATACTCCATTTAATCCTCCAGGGAAAGATGGAAGGCAAACGAGGTCCAGGCAGAAGAAGAACATCGTGGCTTCAAAATCTAAGGGACTGGTTTGGACAAAACTCAGCAGCACTTTTATCAGTGGCTGCTGATAAAAACAGGATCGCCAACATGATCGCCAACGTCCAATAACGGATATGGCACAAGAAGAAGGACTTCAACTCCCAGAATTCCTTAGCCAGGCACACTGGCTGAGGAATTCTGGGAATTGAAGTCCACAAGTCATAAAAGGGCCACGTTTGAAGACCCCCTGTTTTAAACCAACGTTTCTCAACCTAAGCAACTGTAAGACACATGGACTTCAACTCCCAGAATTCTGAGAGTTGAAGTCCACATGTCTTAAAGTTGCTTAGGTTGAGAAACACAGTTCTAAACCAAGGTTGTGCAACCTGACCCTGTCAAGACCCACTGGGACGGCCACTTCTCGCCTCAACATTTGGAGGGCCACAGGATCAAGAACATGGCTCTTCTGATGGAGAAAGCAAGCGCTTCTGTCTCACCATGCTGAGTTTTCCATTCCTGCTGGTTGCCACCGAGAGCGAAAAAGCGGCAATGGTACTTGTGGCCATCACAAAGTAGGTGTTGTAGATGGCAGTCCATTTTTTGTCTTCTTCCTCAATCAGGGCAGAATTGAAGCTGGGCCACAAGACCCAGAGAAAGAGAGTACCTGGTAAACCACAAAGGAGAAAAATGGTTAAACTCTCAAACCCAACAGAGCTCCAGTTTTCAGCAGTATGGGAGGAGAACCATTGCTAGTCTATGCTACTATTGAGCAAGGGGGTACCTTGCTCAATACTAGTAACTGTGAGAGGGACCTCGGAGTCTTAGTGGACAATCCCTTAGATATGAGCCAGCAGTGTTCTGCAGCTGCCAAATAGGCCAACACAGTGCTGGGCTGCATTAACAGGGATAGAATCAAGATCACGTGAAGTACTAATACTACTTTACAATGCCTTGGTAAGGCCACACTTGGAATACTGCATCCAGTTTTGGTCACCGCGATGTAAAAAAGATGCTGAAACTCTAGAAAGAGTACAGAGAAGAGCAACAAAGATGATTAGGGGACTGGAGGCTAAAACATATAAGGAAAGGCTGCTGGAATTGGGTCTGTCTAGTTTAATGAAGAGAAGGACGAGGGGGGACATGATAGCAGTATTCCAATATCTCAGGGGCTGCCCCAAAGAAGAGGGAGTCAAGCTATTCCCCAAAGCGCCTGAAGGCAGGACAAGAAGCAAC